TTTCCCTACAGTCTCGCTAGAACAATCTCCATAAACATTTAAGCCAATGTTTCTGTGATCTCCAATAGAACCCAGAATATTTTAAGTTGTAAAAACTAGCTAAATAATTTAAGAAATGGTTATTATGTAGAGAGAAGTCTTCACGTTATAGCTTAAAAATTATTGCAGAGTTTATTTTGTGCACATTTTCTACTAAGTAAAATACAGCCATGTACACATGTATGTATAAGTATTATACTTATATATACTTACATACATCACATGTAGATCAGAGGAGACCTGAAACTCAACAAAGCTGGAACCAAGTAGTATTAAATTAAGAAGATGTGTGAAGCTGGAGAGATGGCTCAGTGTTTAAGAGCACTGTCTGTTCTTCCGAAGGAGCCGGGTTCAATTCCCAGCACCCACAAGGCAGCTCACAACTGTCTGTCATGCCCATTCACACTAATACACATAAAATAAAGTTAAATAAATTAAAAAGATAAATAAATATTAGAAAAAGAAGGTGTGTGAAATATGCATGTCTCATTAGGGTTTTTTGCCTTCTTACCTGTCTTTAAAAGTTGGGGGAATCTTATGAAAGAAGGGAGAGATAGAATGACCTGGAGGGGACAGGAGCTCCAAAAGGAGAGCAACAGAACCAAAAATTCTGGGCCCAGGGTTCCAACCAAGGACCATGCATGGAGATAACCTAGAACCCCTGCACAGATCTTGCCCATGCCAGCTCAGTCTCTAAGTGGGTACCCTAGTAAGGGGAGCAGGGGCTGTCTCTGATATGAACTCAGTGGCTGGCTCTTTGATCACCTCCTCCTGAGGGGGAAGGCAGTCTTACTAGGCCAGAGAGGAAGACAATGCAGCCAGTCCTGATGAGACCTGATAGGCTAGGGTCAGATGGAAGGGGAGGAGGACCTCACCTATCAGTGGACTGGGAGAGGGGCATGGGAGGAGAAAAGGGAGGGCAGGATTGGGGCTACAGCTGGGAAACAAAGTGAATAAATTAAATAATTTTTTAATTAAAAAAATTCATAAAAAGAAAAATAAAGTTGAGGGTTCTATGATGAATTTGTGATTTGAAAGGTGGCATAGTGAAGTCACTTTGGCATTACAACTGTAGCACCTGTCTCCTCCATTGCTTGTCATTTTTCCTTTCTTTAACATCCTCATGAGGATGTACTGCAAGGCATGATGGGAATCTAAGACATAAAGTTTCTACGATAACCTTTTCCTACTCAATTCTGTAGCATAAAACAGAATTGTTTCGACATCACACTAGAGGTCTTTTTTCCCCCCTTACTGTGTTACCTCTGAAAGCTATTTATGCTTTTTTTTTTTTTTTTTTTTTTTTTACATAATGTCTGCTTTTTTATTCTAGGACAATTTTATTCTCATATCCACCTTCCTCCTCCTTTTTCTGTACTTCTTGATGGTATGATTTCTTTGTGCATTAAGTTTTAAACTCATACTTTACGAGTTCTGCAAACATCTGATCACCTCATTATCCTCCAGCGTGTTCCAGCAGGACAATTACATACTGTGATACAGAGGATTACAGTCTACTTTCTGTGTCACCTTGCTTTAATTAAGGCTTTACATGAATTTCTGAAACCATATACATGGCCAATTAGCTGTGAACTTCCATTCGAGGTGGCCTGGGCATGACTAAATGCGTGTTATGAAAGTGGATTTCTTCTAATAGAGCGGAGAAGCATTATTTTAAGCCTCCTGTAAGAAACACTTTGAAGATGGCTCAAGTAGGTTGACTATTTCTGGTTCACCTGGAACGGCCAGGGTTTGCTCTTATTGCCCTGACAGGATTATTAATCATGTCTCTTTTGGTGCTGGGAGTCCTGTTTGCATGATGGACGGCTTTGCCATACACTTTGGGGAGCTTTCCTCTTCCTTACCAACGTGACCACATTAGTCACTTTTGGATCAGTGTGTCCTGTTTCTGTTCATTCTCCTTACATCCTTTGATGAAAAGCATCAGGTTTCCTCTTAGCCCCTCCTCTGTTGAACGTTTCACTCCTCAAACCTACCAGCATGCCTTTCTCTTCTCCTTTAAAACAAATCTAAGATGAGTGGTTAAAATACCTTCAATGTCTTGGTCTCCCCCTCACAAATTGGTTCAGTCCTCAGCCAATTCTCTTAATTGGCTCCTCTGTTTCTGGCATTCTCCCTTAATCTCCTTTCCGCTTATTTTTCCACCATTGCCTTATATTCTGCCAGATTTTCATACTTCAGCAAAATCAACTTCACCTCATCTGACTGTTTGCAGCTTGACTCCTCCCCCACCCCCGGGTAGACCCTGTTAGTTGCCTTAGCCCTAACTCTCTTTGTTCTGTGGTAAGCTCGCCAGCATTAACTCATATCGACACGAGCATTCCTGGGGTCCACTTCCACCCACCATTTTGTGCATTGCCCATGAATCATACTGCAAATCGGCCCAGCTTTGACAGAGGAGCACCTGTGAGCAGCGTTCGTTGCTATTCTGTGGGGAGATGCCTTATTTTTAATTGTTTTGGTGGTCTTTTTTTTTTTAAAAGGAATTTCAGCCTTTGGAGTCAGATGTTTAGGTCTTTATATATATATATATATATATTTAATTCTTAAACTATTTGTACTCGGGATAAAAAAAAACACGTGAAAAAAAAAACACAAGAAATTTACACTTTTAACCATTTTATCAAATCGTGCACCGAGGGCCTCTGGCGTCATTACACGCTCGCTCTGCCTTGCACACCGTGCACTGAGCTTCTCCTGTGTCATCAGTGTGCTCCAGCTTGCACGGTGTACACTGGGGTTCCCCCGGGTCATCAGCACGCTCCGGCTTATCCAGCTACCACCACCCCCTCGTTCTCCTTATCATTACCACAAATGGAAATCCCGCACTCACAAAGTTCTCTCCTGCTCCGGGCCCTGGCAGCTGCCTCCTACCTTCTCTTCTCTGTGGATTTGCCTGGCAGAACATTTTCTTAGAAGTGAAGCCGTAAAATGTGTGACGTTTGCGATGAGCTCTCTTCACATGCTTTTCAAGGTTCGTTCACACTGTGAAGTATCAGTACTTGATTCTTTTCCGTGGCTGAATATTTAATATTTAATATTTAATATTTAATGACATGAATAGACTACATTTTGATTATCCATTTATACAGACAAGATTCTTATCAAAATATTTCCTCAAGACCAGATGGGTAATGCAGTAGCATTGATAAGCGCAGCAAACGGTAGGTGGGCTTGTGCATGCTGCTGTTGTATGAAGCATGTACAGGAAGCTCTAACACCCTGTTTTAGTGCCGGACTTCACTTTCTCCTTTTCTCTCCTTTATTCAGGAAAGGGGGTGACTACAGTGTGCTTCGTTAACAATGCATTTCTGTTTATACGTCCTCCGATAGCATGGAGGGGCCAGCGTCCTAGCTGTACACCTCAGCTGGGTCCTTTCAAAACGTATCTCTCCTTTGATCAGCTTAAAGCATCTTTTAATGTGGACTAGAGAATAGGATAACAGACCGTGCTCCCTCTGTGGTCATTTTGAAGAAGAGTGCATCCACAGTGATCACTGACCCATGACATCACCGGTTGAAGGTGATACAGGCGTTTGTTGTGATCCCATCTTGCTGATGTTCTGTTGCAATATCAAAGTGGGCGTAGCCGGGGAAATGTTCACTGTGGCGTTTAACCTCTGGCCTTTAACCTCTGCCCTTGGGTTCATTCCGGTGCTATCGTGTAAATGTTATAGGTGGGAGAGCATAGGAAGTCTCTATATCATTTTCCAATAAATGCTGTATGTTCCCCACAGCAGACACCTGCTCATGTGAGAATGACCATGGAGCCTTCCATGTGAGCCTTATGTAGGCTCTTGTGCACATTAGCAGCTTGTGGTAGAAAGAGAACAGCTTCCAGGGTGATGGCTACCTCAAAAATGTCCTTTCTTCCTCCTCCTAACTCAAAAGCAAACCACTGTTATATAATTAAGTTACTGAATAGCTATATACTCCTTCCCCAGCTGCCGAAGGATACCCTACCTGGTCTCTCTAGGTTTGCCCTTTAACTGTCTCCTGCCTGGTATGTCAGCAGCTCACCCAGACACTGGATATATTAACTTCTTAGCTAGAACTGGTGGTGCCCAGAATAGTAGCACCTACCCAAGGACTAGCAGTGCCCTGTGGGCAAAACTGCTGATTCAGGGGAGGTGTGGCTCTATGGCAGCCATTCCTGTTCCATTTCTGCTTGTTGTTCAGCCTTCCATGGAAGAACTGAGTATTGACTCCGTCCAGCATGAACAGACATGGTAAGGGATGTGCATGGGCCTTTCCTCCGCTCACTTAAACTGAGTCATGTTCTGGAATGGTCCTGGATCTCTACAGGATAACTCTTACAGCAGAAAGTCCAAAAGTTAATGCCTCACCTCACAACTCCTCGACGAGGTTGAGTATTCTAGAACTTGGGAGACCTGATGAATTCCTGAACCGTTTTAGGTTCCATGACTTTACACATGTGACTTCTCTGTATTTCATTTTCCCACCCATTGAAACAAAGATGTGAACGGGGCTAGGGAGACGTCTTCACCATTCAGAGTATTTGCTGTTTCGACAGAGGACCCAGGTTCAGTTCCCAGAACCCACATGGTGACCCACAGTCATCTGTAACTCCAATTCTCAGAGATTCAACACACTTTTCTGGCTTTCACAGGCACCAGGCATTCACCTGCAGCACATATATGCACACAGCAAGCACTCATACACACAAAATAACAATAAATACATTTTAAACATGAAAAAGACACAAAAATAGTTAATGACCAAATTCATCCAATCATTACCAGGGATCCTTGTTCCATGTTTATGGAACACGAACCTGATACCCATAGTGAGTCAGCATGTGCACATCAGGATTCACTGTTACTACCCCACATTCTCCTGCTGTTGAATCTGCGTGACTCGATGTGGACATTGCAACCTGGCCCCCAGTCTTTAGCCTTTTCTCTGTGTGTTATTTGCAGGAAATTTCATGAAGAAACATGGTCAGCCTGTTCTTTCCAAAACCTCAGGGTAAGTCCAGGAACGTTCAAGCCAGAATAAGGGTTGGGTTGGCTTTCCCTGCTGACTTGACAAGCATAGGTATAGGACCTAAGTCCTTTGTGGCTTGGTTGTAAGAACTGAAGGATGGGGGCCTAGTGGGACACTGTGCACCATTCCCCCAGCATCTTCTGACCTGGCAGCCTCTGTGGGTAGCACCTTTAATGAGTAAACTTAGGAGAAGCATTAACAGTTGTAGCTGCTGTCACAGACAAGCCCCATATCTCTATGACTCAACCCAAGCTTATTTCTCAACTTGTTCTTGAATGGGTAAGACCCTTCCACATTTCCTTCAAGGACCCCAAACTCTCTCAGTTTTGTAGCTCCATCTCCTGGAGCCTCTACTTCTAGCCAGAATATTAGACAAAAACAGAGTGGAGAATCTTGCCGGAGGTTTTCATGATTCAGCCCTGGAAATTGCGTACAGCAAGCATGTTCTTGGTTTATTGTCCAATATCCAGGCCTTGGGCCAGAGCTCAGTGGAACTAAGGTTTAAGGGAAGCAAGCAAATGTCACACAGCTGCATGCTCATGTGGTAAAGGTGATATGTCCTAGTGACAGATTTTTCTAGAGAAAGTATTTGAGGCATAGAGTTGGGAAAACAATCCTTAAATGGTTCCTGACCACAATTTAAGTGACTTAGGCAGGAGTGGAAGAATTGAATTACTACCCGGTCTAAGTCTGGATTCTCTGTTGATCTTTTTTCTAGGGACAGATTTTCAGTGGAGACTCGTCCCAGCATCTGGGGAGAGTGCCCACCAAAGTTTGCCACCAAGCTGGGCAGAGCTGTGGTCAAAGAAGGGCAGATGGGGCGGTTCTCCTGCAAGATCACTGGTCGGCCTCCACCACAGGTCACCTGGCTCAAGGTGAGGTTTTGTCCACCCAGACTCTGGTCCTGGCCAGGAAGCCAGGGAGTTCAAACCCTGGGACTGCTGGAAATCTGTCTTTGCAGTTCCTTCGGTTTCAACCCCAGGCATTTCCCCAAGGCTTTCAGTGTGTGTGAGAGCGACATTCCTATCCAGTGTAGTACACCCCTGCTGGTATGCAGACCATAGTGCTCTTATCCTCACACTCACAAAACAGCCTAAGGCTTTTGTTCAAAGACGGACGAGGCGCCTCAAGAGAAGGAATTTGAATTGGGGTGCTGGTTTTCAGGCAGCAGCTCTATGTCTCATGAAGCATGAGACGCTAGGCAAGTCACTTAATCTCTTGGAACCCAGTCTCCTTATCTCTGATTAAGAAACACCTTAGAGGACACGCCATATGGAAGTTCTTTACAGGCCATTCATAGCTGGTTGAAGTGAAGAGAGGCAGAAGAGATGGGGGTGGCAGGCAATGAGAAAGTGGGGATGGAACCAGGCATTGATTGAGGGATGTCAGGGACAGTGGGGTGAAGGCCACAGGGAGAGAACAGGTTTTTCAGAGAAGAAACTCTTGAGTGAAATGAGTGGTAGGACTCCTTTTACCTACTTCTTGATTCTTCTAAACTCGCCCTCGGAAGAAAGGACGGCAAAGAAAAAGTGAAGCGAGCAATATGGGTTGCCCTCCCATATCCATTCCTCCAAAGAAACAAGGTCTTTTGAGATGGTTTCTGCACTGGCTCCAAGCCTGTGCAGAGGCTTCAAGGCTGAGTGCTCTGTTGGTGATTATCTTAGTCTTCTTTCTGTCGCTGTGAAAAACCCTGTGACCAAAAGCAAGAAGAGGAAAGGGTTTAGTTGTCTTACCCTTCCACATCACATTGAAGGAAACCAGAGCAGGAGCCTAGAGGCAGGAGTTGAAGCACATGCCATGGAGGAGTGCTGCTTACTGGCTTGCTCTTTCAAGCTTGCTTAGTTTGCTTTTTCGTATACACCAGGACTGCTTGCCCAGGAACAACATGGCCTACTGTGGGCTGGGCCTTCCACATCAATCATCAATCATGAAAATGCTCCACAAGCTTATCTATAGGCCAGTCTGATGGTTCCCTCTTCTCAGATGACTCTTGCTTGTGTCAGGTTGACAGACAAACAAACTGGACATCACTATGGTGAATGTCTGGAGACCACAGAACAGGGTTCTGTGGACCCAAGCCTTGGTATCCATTCCATAGGACTGGTGGGAGATGGGATTACTGGGTCAAAAAGAGAGCAGACTTCTGTAACCAAGCTCTCCTATTGCCACTTGTAGGGAAATGTCCCATTGCAGCCAAGTCCTCGAGTGTGTATGTCAGAGAAGAATGGTATGCAGATCCTGGAAATCCATGATGTCACTCAGGATGATATGGGCATGTACACATGCATGGTGGTGAATGGGTCAGGGAAAGCCTCCATGTCGGCGGAGCTCTCCATCCCAGGTATGGGTGGGGGAGCGCGAGACTGATGCAGAGGGACCATCTCCTGGTGCCAGGAGCCTCCCAGAAGAAGCTATTCCTTACATCACTTTTGTATATTCATGTTTCACAATGGCATAACCATGCATCTTCAAACACAAAGTTTTTGACTAGAAGAACAAAGGATGGGCTAGCAGCAGAGACCAGACCCAGAGGAAGTGCTATGAGCTGTCTCCTTCATTTGTGTCCCTAACTAGGTCCTGCCGCTGTGTCTCCAGTCCTTTCTTGTAGCTCAGGTAGCTTCTTCATGTCTCTGGCTATTGGAAGACTGGATATTCCTGTTGTTCTGTCATTCCTGCCTGAAATCTAACTTATCCACCCTGTCCCTCAAATAAGATGTGTATAAAGTGAGGATATGACTGGTCCAAGGTATAGTTAAAGAGAATGTTTTTATTGACTATATGAGGGAGAGTAGAGGCGGAGGCATTTGGAAGAGTCCAGAGAAGAGAGAGAAAGTAGTAGACTAAACATGACCAGCAGATTGAACCAGGCCATGAGATGGGGAGAAAGAGAGGGAGGATGAGAAGAAAGGGAGCAAAGGAGAAAGATAATGATAAAGTGTGTGGCTGAAATGGCAGGGTTCTATAGGAATGAGAAGCTGAGAGAAGAGAAGTCCATGAGCTGGAGAGGTTTAGGGTAGAGATGGGATGAGAAGAACTGAGAGGAGCCACAGGTACTGAGTGAGTCTGGAGGCCAGCTTGCGTTTTGGTATGCTAATAGACAGCTCAGCCATTTGTCCTGAGTTTCTTTTAGTCCTGACAAAATGCTCCCTCAACTTAACTCTTTCTACCCAGGCTCCTCCTCATCAGACTGGACATGTCAACAATAGCCCTCTTCCTTGTGTTCATCCTCAGCCCCTGTCAGTTCTTCCTTTGCAACTTCTTTGATTGCCTGCTTACACTCTCTTGCCTTTCACAAATCCAGCCTGGGGAAGCCGGAGCGTGTACATGGGGGGAATCCGGAGAAATCCAGTGCTCACCGTTTTCATTGGTTGTAGAAATGACTTGGGCATAAGAATGAGGTGAAATTACCTCATTTTCCTCCTCCTTTCTTCTCCAGTTCTGCCTATGATTTTCCCCTTTTATATCTCCTTCCTTTCCTTAGAAACTATGCCTTCTTGCTCTATCTGTCTGTCTGTCTATCTATCTATCTATCTACCATATATCTGTCTATCTCTCCCTCCATCCATTTGTCTATGTTTCTATCATCTATCTATCTATCTATCTATCTATCTATCTATCTATCTATCTATCTATC